GTAAATACTAAGTCATTAAAATAAATTTGAATTCAAATAAATGACATGTAATTCGTTAAACCTATTAGAAATGTGCTACAGTATAATTCGTAATATAAATCAAAAATCGTCAAATAAATTCGTAATATATATATCACTAGTTCTATGTCCACCGATGAAACCCTTGTCACAAGTTTGACACAGCTCGGGAGTGACAGGAAATGCGTCTTTAGTGCACGTGGTGTCAAAATTGATGAGTAATTCAGTATCATCTTCAAATAAGACTAAATAGTTGGTTGGGTAAGGTGTAAGTGGTACTCTACGAGCACCCATTTCCATGGAGTGAACTGTGGATCGTTTTCGTTTAACATAATGAGTAAAGATGAAAATTAGAAAAAAATTTATAAGCCTCTAATTTTTTTTCTAAAACTTTATGCGAGCGTAAAATAATAAATTAGAAATTAGAAATTAATTTATTTAAGATGTTCAAACCACAAAACAATCATAAAACACCAGACCATGTTTGTTTGAAAAGTTTTAGGAGACTTCTTTTTTTTTTAAAAAAAAGGGTAGATATTTTCCAATTTTTTATTAATTTTAAGTACGATGTGCAACAGTTAGATATTAACCGATTTTAAAAATTTTATACCATTTTTGTTCCGATTCCAATAGGCAACTTTTCCGTGCCAAATCGTTCCCAAACTAAAAAAAAAAAAAAAAATTCGATCCTCTTTAAGTGAATAGCTAAATCGGAATGTTCCTAAAGGAAATTGCTTTACTTAACTTTGAATTAAAAGTAAGAAACCTGTTATGTTAGTAAAGCAAATAATGCTCATATTTTTCTTTCAGTTAACTAAGAAAATAGTAATGTTAGAAATTAAGTTTATGTGGTTGCATGAGCTGCCTTTTTGTTAAAGGAATTGTAATACTTTGCAATAAAAACGAGAAAATTTTATTATTTTCACAATCTCTATTAAAACAAATACTTATTTTAATTTTGAACTAAATGCTTATGTATTTGGGATAAGTATAAACCTGTTCAATACTTCATAGTATAAGCCTGGCGATCCTGAAACGTTTTTATTTTCTTTGTTAAACCATAAATTCGATATTAAACAGGGTAAATCGGAACAACTCATATAGCTTCAGGGAGACCAACCCTAAGTGCAAAAAATATTTTTTAAACAAGAAAATAACAAGCATAGTGACTGAAAAATATCGACTCTGAAATCTGAGTAAATATCTTCCAAAACAGAATGAAATAAGAGCAGTCCATATTTTCCATTCTATCTGACGAGAGATCATATTTTCGAACTTTAAATGTTTCTGAAAGAATATCATGGAATTCACTCTTCAAACAGTTTTCTTAAAAGATAGTCTTTACAAGGAGAATTGGCCATGGTCAAACAATGTCTAAATCCACCACTATTGGATAAATTGATTTGATCTGAAAGTAAATCAGAGATGACTCTTCCTCAAACAATTATGTTGATGAATTTATAAATAGACTAGAATAATCATAATACGAACTATTGAAGTCAAAACAAAGTCTATGTCCTTAATTGTTCTAAAAGAATATCACAGATGACACTTCTTCAAACAATTGCGTACATGAATTTATAAATAGACGAGAGGAATCATAATATGAACTATTTATTATGATAATACAATTGTACACAATCCCGTCTGATCTCTCTATAGCAAAATATAGTTTTATTGACAAACGATTATTTATAATATTTTTCCAAGTAAACAATTTTTATGAATAACTAAGAAATTATTAAAAAAAAAAGTCTTTTGCATAATACTGGAATAAATTTACACAAAAACTACTATTTGTATTCGAAATATATATTTTGCTTTCGCACATAACTTGTTTGAAAGTTGTACAAAAATCAGTTTAAATTCTTTCATGTTTTTTTTAGATTAGAAGTAATTTTTACAAGCTTCAAAGTTACCCCAAAAAATAAATAATGGCATATTCCATATTTCTTCTTAACATCATCGCAGTCGTCACATTATGTACTTTGGAGCTAGAAGGAAACATACACTACGAGGTTGGAAATAACACCGATATGGAAGCCGCACTTCTTCTGTACCAAAATTACGAAAAACGACATGAAAAAATGATGAATAAATTAATTATATCAATTTGGAACTACAAAACCAATTTGACAGACTACAATAAAAGAGAATACGTATGTATTTTTTTTTGTTTCGTAAGGTTTTTCAATACTATTTATTAGAAATTTAAATATTCTTATAAAAATCATACAAGCAGTACGACATCACTTCCATGTCAAAAAATTTATTCACTTAATTTAAAATTTATTAAGCTTTTAGTCCACACTGTCACAAATAATAGTGGGTGCAAATAATAGTCAAATAATAGCACCGGAGCAAATAATAGTCAAATTTGAAACCCCACACTGTAAAAAAAGGTTCCTCAAGATCGAGCAAAAATGTGCCAAAATTGCTCCGGAACAAATAACAGTCGAATTTGAAACCCTATTTTTTAGAAATTTAAACACCATAAACTCATTTTTCAGCAAAATGCATTGTGTCAAAAAATATGTGAAGAGAGAAAAGACTGAGCTCGTTGGCTGTTGGCAGAATTTGAACCAACGACATCCGGGTTCGGAGTAAGATGCACTACTTTTATTGAAGAAGAGCTAGGAAACCTTATATAGTGACTTATGAACAACACATAATGAAATATTAATTTCCAACTTCAATGGTACTAAGGTTAGAAATCTAAAAAATATAATTCCATTAACATAGTCACACAGGAAATCGATAATTTCAATGCCACGTTTTGCTTATTTCGCAATATCTTTAGAACTTCTAAGCTATATACACTATCTGGAAAAAAGTGACTGGACAACTGTTAAGTTTGGCCCGTTTCTCCTGGTATGGCGCTGGCCCACTGGTGAAGGTTGATGGTATGATGAATGCCGATGGATAATGTGATATTCTCGACAATCATGTCCTTCCTACCTTGTGGGCAACGTACGGTATGGACGATTGCTTGTATCAAGACGACAATGCAAGATCCCATGTTGCAAGGAGGACTCTTGATTGGTATGTGAACAACAACGCTAAACGCATGGAGTGGCCGGCGCAGAGCCCTGATCTTAACCTAATTGAACATCTCTGGGACGAATTAGACCGTCGGTTGGGGGCTTGCACCCCACTCCCCAAAAGCAAGCATGAACTATGGAACTTCCTGTTAAACATTTGGAAGGAAATTCCTCTTGCCACTATGGCTAATTTAGTGGAGAGCAGGCCCAGAAGTGTTGCAGCTGTGATCGCAGCCAAAGGAGGCCCTACCTCCTATTAATTTTAATAAATATGGGTTTATGTCATTATAGTGTCTCGTCCTGGTCTGGGTTGCACTACTTTGTTGTTTAGAGCTTCCACCTAAAAACTCGAAGATCTTTGGTTTGAATCCTGCGGCAGGAAACGTACATCTTTCACTCAATTTTTTTCTCAACAATGTGTATATGTTGTTTCAATTTTTAATGTATGGGGTTTTTAGATTCGACGATTATTTGTTTCAGAGCTATTTTGAGACATTTTAGCTGAATTTTGCAAAACTTTTTTTTTATGGTGCAGTTATTATCCAGTTTTAAATAAAAGCTATGTCAGTTTTACTATTGTAAGTTATGCTAAAGTACTGATATTATCTAACCTGATATATTATCTTATCTTACCTGATTTTACTAGGAATATGATACTATATATATTGCAAAGATGCTCCCCCTCTACCCACTCCCGCGTTGCTCACCAGCCCCTGTGGTTGCTTCCGACTCATATTTAAAGATCAAAGAGGAAGAACGGTTTAGGAAATTTTTGAACTAAAAATACGACTGGATGTCAGTCTGCTGTATTTTGAGGATTACTAAGTTTTTCCCAGAACCAGCTACTTTAACCGGGTATCCATTGTCGGGTAAAACTCACTTATGTTTGACAACACCATGTTTAGATTTACAGTAATATTTAAACTATTCATAAAAATAAGTGCAATTTTAGAAATGCATGTATTCCATCAGTTTCTTAATAACCAAGCTGAAATTACTGGTTGAAGCACACCAAACGTTACGCTTGTGCAGAATTTTAATTCAGTGGAATTATGGTAAAGTGGTCACCTTAATTTACTTAATTTATTCATTTCATTTAATCTTATTTTATTTATTTATTTATTTCACTACACACACATGAATAAATTTCGACTGTTTCAGTTAATTATTCAACAAATTCCAATTTTCTTGACTTTTAGGATTAGTATTAAATCTATCTCTTTAATTCATATCTTTAGATTCTGCCTTTCTTTTTTTAATTTGTCTAATATTCAATAAGATATTACTCAAATAAAATGGCAGGCATAATCATTTCAATAAACATATATTTTATTATAATGAAGCTTACTCAGAAATGAAGAGCTTCTTCCCGCTTTTAATTTTTTTTATTCTTAACAACACGAATCTAAGTATTTTTGAATTTAATTACTTATTAACCTGCATTATTTTACCGGAAAATATAGTTTTGAAAAACATTTCATTGTACCTGAAAAACATTTCATTGTTCCTGTACATTTCAATATTAATTTGAAATTGCAAACAGTTCACATATTTTTCTTAATCACCTTATTCTAAATTTCAGTTGTTGAGAAAAGTAACTGTTGTAAGTTTTGTTTTAAAGTCTTTCCCACCAGAGTGTTAAAGTCATGTTTTGTAAATTAATATGAAATAGTAGTCTGAATAGTAGAGAGAGAGAGGGAGAGAGAGAATTTCTTTAAAAACACAATTGTTAATTTGGGCATTTGGCGATAAAACACTTATAGAATTGAAGGATTTGTTACGTCAAGCGCTCAGGTATCTTAATTTTGATCTAGTTGCGCTTCTATGTCATTATGATTTATGTTGCTAAGTTAACTTTCAAAAAATTCTATGGCTGACAACAGCATTTTTATTTTTTAAGTTTTTTTTTATTTCTTTTAGAATTCGTTCTTTTTTTAGCGAAATGTTTTTTAACCTTACAGAATTCTTTGCCGACTGTTCTTTCTATAAATGAAGAAAATAAAGTAAATACTTAAGTGTTGTTAAAAGAATCCTATTTAGTTGTACAAAGTACTTCAGCCAAAATTTGGGAGCCACGTAAGAGAATTGTATATAATAGATTATTTTTTTAATGCAAACTGGATGCATGAAAACTTGGTAATGTAAAAGTGATACGGTAAGTTTTAAGTAATTCACGAGAAGTTTTCAGCCAAATATACAATACTAGTGGGCTTCGCCCCCTGCTCACTAACGCTCGCCAACCCCCGAAAATTGCGACGCAATCTTATATGGTTTGCTTCGCAAACCAAGCTCGCTTCGCTCGCTACTAACTTGAGTACTTTGCAAATGCACAAAATTCTAAGAATTCAAAACAATCATTCAAATCCATATAACAACTTTTTTTAAAAAAAAAAATTACATCTTTTTAGTAAATACTAAGTCATTGAAATTAATTTGAATTCAAATAAAGACTCATTGACTGAGACTCATTTTTCAATGAATAACTAATAACAATAATAAAACAAATAAATTCGTGATATAAATCAAAAATCGTCAAATAAATTCGTAATATATAAATTCGTGAAAAAAAGCGCTTTCGACAAAATACTAAAATTGTAGATCTATCGACAAAGACTACTCACTTCTGCCTAGCTTAATAGTATGAGATTGCCGCAGCTGATGCTCTCTGGTTATTCAGAGAATTATATATATATAAGATTGTAATCTGTATTATTAGATTACATTTAACATATGTGTTTTTTTTTATTTATTTTAATTGATGTATTTTATTTTATTTATTTTATTTAATTTATTTTATTTAATATATTTTATTTAATGTATTTTATTTAATATATTTTATTCTATTTATTTAAATTAATTTATTTAATTTAATTTATATTATTTTATTTTTTTAATTACTTTACTTAATTTATTCATTACATTTAATTTGATTTAATTTTATTTAATTTTATTTATTTATTTATTTTACTACATATGCATAAATTTCTGTCTGTTTCAGTTAATTATTTAAAAAATTCTGATTTTCGTGTAAAAAAAAATGCGATTGTTTTCTTGACTTTTAGGATTGGTATTAAGTCTATATCTTTAATTCATATCTTTAGAATAAGATGAATGAAGAAATTAAGGCATTCCATGATGAAACAAGGAAAAATGCTACTTCCTTTGCATGGGAGAACTTGGAGGATATTGATGTGGCTGCATTGAATTGGTTTCTTTATATGTCCAAAAAACCTGATGAAAAAGTAGTAGAAAATGCTGCGAAGGTTAAGTTTTCATGTTATAGATATCCATAGTGTTTCATAGCATTTTAAAAAATATTGACGTTTAGACTGAACAACTAATGTATAATATTCAACTACAAACTATATAATAATCAACTGCAATGCAGGTAATAGTTAACTGCAATGTATGTAATTGTCAACTACGCTGAGAAAAAAAAAAGAATGGTCAAAATTAACTTAATATTGCAAAATTTATCATTCTTCTTGCTCGATGGAAACACTAAAAAGCTCGATAATTTTTTCAAAAGAATTTGTTCAAATCAACTATTAAATATGGTTTTATAATCTGTGATAAAATTTGGAAAATGACATAAAATTTGGTACTTTTATCATGAGACCTAAGAGCACGACATAAAACCCATTTATTGGTTAAATATACTTTACAAATCTATATTTTTTTCTAAATGTTTGGTCATGAAAGTTGTGATTTTGAAATCCAGAATTTCTAGTAAACCATTATCATATGAACGGAAAAATTTTCAAATGAATGGTTTAAATATTTTAGATTTTGTAACCCAAATTGTGCGTTTTTTTTTTCATTCAGAAATGTCATTACCGTAGTACAGTACCGAAGTTTTATCAGAATTTTTCCCTCCATGTTGTGTATGCACAATTAGTATTTTAATTAATATTAATTAAGTTAGTTTAATTAGGAAGAAAGAACTTCATAATGAGTGCCTCAATTGGAAAATAAATAAATAAATGAACAGGTAAGAAAAAAGTGAAATTATGGAGTTTCTAACTATAGTTTTAACTATGAAGTCGAGTAAGGCCTGCTCTACAACGTAAAAACAGCTGCTATATTTTAAAAGTTGGAAAGGTTTAACCAGTTAAAAATGCCAAAAGATTGTCATCCGGAATAACTTTTTAACTAAATATTAGATTTTCGCAAACAAAGTGCCAAACATAATGATTCAAATGGTCAACCTTAAATATACTAATTAATTAGTGCTTACTATTAATTAAAATACCGAGTCAAACACAAAAAACATACTTTCTCAGAATGTTTAATTTCTCTCAAATATTGATATCTGTTGTAACAGCACCAAATGATAAAACGCTCGAAAAAAAATCGCAGTTACTCATATATAATTCGCATTCTTAATAGCCTATATTTTCCAACTTTTTTTTTGGGGGGGGGGGCTTTGAAACTTTAAATTAGCAACCCCGCTACTCAATGAGCAAATTTCATTAGCAATTCTGAATATATTAATTAATGAAAGACTATTAATTATATTTAAAGTAAGTAATGATCTAAATTGTATTAATTACTTAAAAAACGTTTTGTGAATGAATGAATGAAGAACAAATTTTTTCATTTAATGATTTTAACAATATTAGTTTTAAAATTGGGTTTTATATCAAACAATTAAATTCACATAACTGGAGTGGTATAGTTTGCATAAGCTGAAAATGAATTAACTGAAATAGGTTTTTCATTCAAGCAAAAAAGAAGAAAGAAAATAAAAGTTGAAAATAGTTTTATCAGAGAAATACTTCCTCAGTCCTGAATTTGAATGCTTTTATTCGGTGCAGAATGGTACTAAATTGTTTTCATAAATGCATCTTCCTCATAATTCATTTATTTTATTATTATACAAAACATTGTTTTGAAATTTCATTCTTAAAAAGGATCTTAATAAAAAAAAATTTATGAAAATGACTGAAATACTAAATAAATAATTAATTATTAATAGAATATAAATTTAATAACAGGTTTCGAAAATCATAACTGGTTAAGAAATTTACTAACGCTCAAAAACAATAAGACTTTTCCTGGGAACTCCAGGATTCCACGAAGCACCATTTAGGAGTCGTTGGTCTACGCATATAAAAACGAATTTCGACAATTACAGTAACATGTATGTTGCGAACTAACGAAGGAAAGAACATATTTCCAGCAACGGTAAAAGCTATACTTAGTTTGAAAAATGCTAAGATCTTTTTATTCCAGATGTTTATCATTTTGTAGCTTATTTATAATTTTTGCAGCTCAAAAAAGTTATTACAGAAATGGAAGAAATTTATGGAAAAGCTAAAGTATGCAGCTACCTGTCAACTTTCCTCCAGCCTTGTACATTAGAATTAGACCCAGGTAATTATAAAATTCCTTTTCCCAAAAGCGCAGTATATGATATTCTGTTTTTTTAAAATTTGCTGAGGGGCGTAAGAAGGAAATATTTTAAACTGTTAATATTGTAACTGAACTGCGATGATTCAGTGGTAAAAGGCGCTGAGCTATCATTGCAAATGATTGGGATTTGATCCTCAGTAGCGGCTTGAAAAACCGCACCCAGCTTCATATCGATAGGTACCAGCTGAAATAAAAGCCGCTTCAGCGTAATGCTGACACTGCTGTTGGTCTTGAAATTGTAGCACCATAACTTTATAACTCATTTAGAGAGTACTTAAACATTGTAACTATTCACGTGTTTTTCTCCAAGTTCGTCACATCAACATTATTCATAAAAGTGAGATCTTCTGCGTTTTCAAATTTATTTCACGCTGAGAAAACAAGTATGATCGAAACTACCAGAATATAGTAAAATTTGCGGTGTTTTCTTTCTCTATATGAGAAGACCAAAGCGATCACTATAAAAATTTGCGATGGTAAAATTTTACTAAAATATAAACATGTTTAGATGGAGTAACTATTTTAAAAATGAAGTTTCCATTAAAAAATTAAATTTGAAATATTACACTAAAACAGATCTGTTTAGTATAAATGTTACATCTTTTGCAACCTCTCAAATTTAAAAATCGGATTTCTATGATCTTGACTACTTTCAGAAACTGAGATATATGCACCAACGAAATCAATTTCATTTTATACATGCAAAAAATTTTAATTACTTTTAATATTTGATTTTAGATATATCTGAAATTATGAAAGAATCAAGAAATTATCAGGAGCTCAAACATTTTTGGACTCAGTGGCGAGACGAGACAGGAAGGAAAATGAGAGGAGATTATCTCAGATACATCGATCTTAATAATGAAAATGGTGAGATAATCATGATAATAATAACAATTATAAACATATATATAGAGAGTGCAAAGTGACATTTTTTTCTCCTCCAAATCCCAAAAATATGTCTATATATTAATCTATAAACATTCATATCCTCTAATACAGTGTTTCACAAACTTTTGACTTTTGTGTATCGTAACGCTGTGTACCACTAATAAAAAAATGAATGCATTTTTTACAATAAAAAATTACACTAAAGTTAAAAATCACTACTGTCTGTTGAAGCAACGAATTATTAACTGTTAACTCTGCAAAAACTAGCCAATTGAAAAATACATAATCGTAAATTTTCATTTCTAGCTTTGTTTTTTAAAAAAAATTGAAATTTTCGTTTGTTGCAAGATATTTCGCATAAGAACGCGTAGCCCCGCTAAGCTGTTCCCGTACCCCTGGGGGTAGGCGTACCACACTTTGGGAAACACTGCTCTAATATTTGATTTTTAGAGTCCTTCAAAAAATGAAGTAATGAAATAAACATTAGCAGTTACAGATTTTGCTTTTAAGTGAGAAAAAAGTCTTTACCAAACTATAATTAATCATTTTATTTATTTTATGACCGGCGTTGACCAGATCAGCTAATATGGTTTAGTTTTGTAACCTAGTAATGTTGAACCCAACTCAGCAGAAAAGAGAAATTTTAGATCTAGCATTGTGCTTGAGCCACCGATGATATAGAGCTTCCGATTCCGATTACCGATTCCGATAGAGCTTCCGATTAATATAACCTGCGTTTGAACAACGAAAGGAGAGTTAGCAGTTCTGGCACTTTCTATGACCAATGGAAAATAGAACCAAGTGCCCGCCATTAAAAAAAAAGAAAGAAAAAAGAAAAAAACGTTTGAACAACATGGAAATGAAAACTATAAAAACCACTTAAGTTAAACTAGGCAACAAAAGAGTTCTATCCGATGATTCGGCGACTGAGAAGGGGATATTTGCGTCAGTAAGAACTGCCAGTATTGTTCGAAACGACCTAACATTTTCGGGATTATAACCTTGCTAGCCATATTAGGAAGATCTTTATTCCTGTACCAATTGGATAGCCCTTAATCGAGGTAATAGTGAAGAAAAATATGAAACAGTTTGACGGGATGCATTTCTGACAATCTCTTTTCATTATCTTCAGTTTTCAATTTCATCGTTTTACCAAACTGCTTGCGTTGTTTCTCCTTTGCTGTGGTTGATGTTGACAATGATTCGTCATACTATAATGAAATTTTAAATATTTCATTAATTAAATACTAATTTAAGATCTTTGCCAGGCAAGTATTTTATAAATATATATACACCGAAGAGCCTCTACAAAGAGCCACCGAAGAGCCTGACCCCCCTCTATCTATAACAATGGGCTCGCCCAGGTTTTCATGGTTTCTCGCCCAGGAACAATGTTTTCATGGGGCACATTAGGACCCATAATCCTCATAGAACAATCCCTGACGTCTGTAAGCTACTTGAACATAGTTGCAGACCAGGTTCACCCATTCATGGCAACAGTTTTTCCTGCGGGGGATGGTGTTTACCAACAGGATAATGCACCATGTCATAAGGGTCGAATCGTCATGGATTGGTTCGAGGAACATTCCAGTGACTTTCAAGTCATGTCTTGGCCCCCAAATTCACCTGACCTTAATCCAATAGAGCATTTGTGGTCCTACTTGGAAAACCAAATTCGTGCTGCCACGCTACCCCCTCGCAATGTGAGGGAATTGCAGGACCAGTTGGTGAGCGCTTGGTACCAGATACCTCAGACTACCTATCAGCACCTTGTGGAATCAATGCCATGGCAGGTACTAGCAGTTTCGAGGGCTAAAGGTGGTCCTACATGTTATCAGTAGGGTGGTCATAATGTAATGGCTCTTCGGTGTATATATAAAATTATTGAGCACTTATGCATTTTAAGTTTTACCAGTATTGCTAGCAATTTAATCATACTAAATTATAAGAAAAATATTTTATCAGGTTACTCAAATACGCAATTTGAAGTAGATGAAGACTACTTTTTGATGTGGGAAACTCTCAAGCCATTATACAGAGAACTGCATGCTTATGTGAGACGAAAGTTAATTGGAAAATACTCAGAATCTTACATAAAACCTAATGGTCCTATACCAGCCCATTTATTAGGTAAGATTTTGTAAACTTTTTGATTAATTTTCCTATTATCTGTTTGATGCTTGAATAAAAATAATTGTATTTTTTAAATTCATCTTTTCCTAATATTTTTGTTTATATTTCAGATAATATCTTTGTTTTCTGGTAAAAGGCATTATTTTTATATTAATCATAGAAATAAATAATTTACTTGAAATTAATGAACTTGCAACATATTAATGAGTTCTTTTCTGATTTTAGGGAACTTGTGGGCTTATTCTTGGGGAAATATTTTTGACCTTGTTATACCTTATCCGAATAAGAAATCAGTAGACGTGACAAAGGCAATGCGGGAAAAGGTAATTGAAAAAAATGTGTTACTAAAGTAAATGATGTGTGAAGAAAATGGGTATCCATATAACTACTCACATTACCCATATAACTAATAAGCTCAGTATTTGTAACACTGGGATGTACCACATGATTTTTGAGCTGAAAAAATTCCGGATAAAAAGTACTGGCAGCCTGAAGGCAGCATTCATTTAATCTATTTTACCATATAATTCGTTTTTACCTTAAAGTTTTATTTCGCAATTTTTACCGTATAATATACACATATTTATAATAATATACAAGGATCAAGTAAATACTACTGTAAACATTGCGGTATTTAATACTTTTTGTTCGGTAAAATTTTACGATGAAATTGAATTTGACTGTAAAAGAGGCACATTACTTTTTACCGTAATTTCAATAGCGATTTTTTAATGTGGAACCGTGTGCTACAGATTTAACATTAAATCTGCATTTTTCTTCTACGGACTTATTAGGATAAGCACTCCTGCTTCGTCATTAAATCTATTGACAAGTCTTTGTACTCGAGTTTTTGTCCTCGAATATTTGTTAAGAGATCAAAATAAGCATACACCAACTCAGTTCTTTTATTGCTTAAAATGAATAAGCAAAATAAATACAATTCTAAAATCATGACAAAGACACAAGTTAACACAGTCCTCGAATATTTGTTAAGAGATCAAAATAAGCATACACCAACTCAGTTCTTTTATTGCTTAAAATAAATAAGCAAAATAAATACAATTCTAAGATCATGACAAAGACACAAGTTAACACAGTTGTAACAAGCTATTTTAGTCTTCGCTTAACTTGCGGATTCCATTGTATATTAAAAGCTAAATTTGAAGGATCATATTCTGCGTTCAATTTTTCATGCACTGATTAAACTGCATTTGAGATTTTTCTCGAAATCACCAGAGGTTCCTAATGGCACCCGAAGCCTGTATTCTTCATCTCTTTCTTGCGAGTAGGACATTGCTGAATGTGTCCTTGAATTATAGATACTTCTCTGGAATTGTGTGGAATCGCTGATTTCACCACGAATAAAGCTTGTCTCCTCCCGAATGGCATTTCTCTGACATAGATATCGAAATCAAACTCTTACGCTAAGCTTTCCCGCCTATCACCAACTTGACGTGTTTGAATTATACTTATGTTATTAACTATACAAATGTATGTTGTTATTTATATTATGCATGTAATTAATTATAGAACATCTTTTAGTTTAACCTAGTCGTTATTTAAGGCGGTTTAAAATATAAAAAATAATACCTACTACGTAAATACCTACTTAAATTTAAATTTTTTACCATTAAATGTGAATATCTACTTTATATTTCTATACAATTTAAAGCTAGTTTTAGGAAATTCACTAAAATGCCATTAAACAAATTTTCCCACTAAACTCTATAATCTCCATTAACAAGCGTTTCAAAACATTTCATTTATTTTTTCCCTGATAGATAATGTAGTGTGAGTTATTCTTTTTTAAAATTCTAATGACTAGGAGGCTTTGCCCCCTGCTCGCTGGCGCTCGCCAACCCCCGAAACTGTTTTCGCAATTCATTTCGGATTGCTTCGCAATCCAATGCTCGCTTTGCTCGCTCATTGGATACGTTCTTAACGTCTAGCTTTAGTATACTTTTTTGAATACTGAAGTTCCGAAAACTTTTCACTGTAGAAAATTCTAAACCTGTACATTTCAATATTAATTTGAAATTGCAAACAGTTCACATATTTTTCTTAATCACACTATTCTAAATTTCAGTTGTTGAGAAAAGTAACTGTTGTAAGTTTTGTTTCAAAGTCTTTCCCGCCTTAACCAACTCTTAACCTCTAATTACTTTTTTCAGTACACATTTCTAAATGTCAGTATTGAACCACAAAACAACTTAAAGTCCTCAAATTTAGCATGAAGTTGTAAAATGTAATGAAAGAGGGTCATAGCAGTAATGAAAGTAGAAGTAAAGTTAGTATTGTAAAATAAAAACAATATTTTTGATCAATGAGCCAAGTTCTTCAAGAATCAGTTGAAGTAGGTTGCTTATTTAAAACTTTTTATAGAATTTCTTTAAAAACACAATTGTTAATTTGGGCATTTGGCGATACAACACTTATAGAATTGAAGGATTTGTTACGTCAAGAGCTCAGGTATCATCATTTTGATCTAGTTGAGCTTCTATGTCATTTTGATTTATATTGCTAAGTTAACTTTCAAAAAATTCTATGGCTGGCAACAGCATTTTTATTTTTTAANCTTTTTGATGTGGGAAACTCTCAAGCCATTATACAGAGAACTGCATGCTTATGTGAGACGAAAGTTAATTGGAAAATACTCAGAATCTTACATAAAACCTAATGGTCCTATACCAGCCCATTTATTAGGTAAGATTTTGTAAACTTTTTGATTAATTTTCCTATTATCTGTTTGATGCTTGAATAAAAATAATTGTATTTTTTAAATTTATCTTTTTTTAATACTTTTGTTTATATTTCAGATAATATCTTTGTTTCCTGGTAAAAGGCATTATTTTTAAGAAGCATATTAATCATAGAAATGAATAATTTACTTGAAATTTACGAACTTGCAACATATTAATGAGTTCTTTTCTGATTTTAGGGAACTTGTGGGCTCATTCTTGGGGAAATATTTTTGACCTTGTTATACCTTATCCGAATAAGAAATCAGTAGACGTGACAAGGGCAATGCGGGAAAAGGTAATTGAATGTGCGACGAAAATGGGTATCCATATAACTACTCACATAACCCATATAACTAATAAGTAAAGTATTTGTAACACTGGGTTGTACCACATGATTCTTGCTCTGAAAAAATTCCTGATAAAAAGTACTGGCAGCCTGAAGGCATATTCCATTTAATCTATTTTACCATATAATTCGTTTGTACCTTAGAGTTTTATTCCGTAATTTTTACCGTATAATGTACACATATTTACAATAATATACAAGGATCAAGTAAATATTACTGTAAACATTGCAGTATTTTATACTTTTTGTTCTGTAAAATTTTACGATAAAATTGATTTTGACTGTAAAAGCAGCACATTACTTTTTACCGTAATTTTATTACAGATTTTTTAGTGTGGAACCGTGTGCTACAGGTTTAACATTCAATCGGCATTTTTCTTCAATGGACTTATTAGGATAAGCAATATCGATCGTATTATTTGATTAGGCACTAAATTATCAAAACAACTAATGCCATTTCAAGTCATTTTTCTAATTTAAGCAAAGTCAAAAGGTGCTAAATGTTTGAATATATTTCAAACTCTCGATGTCTAAGTTTGTTAAAGGTCATTTTATTAATTTCAAGAATAAGAGTTTGAGATGCTAGAAAAAGGATAGTTATTCATCATCTATCCTAAAAATACAAACAAACAAATCCTACTGGAAACAAATCCTATTTGTCTAGCTCTCCTCTTCTGACGTCATAGTAGAACGTGGTTATTTCTTTATTTGTTATTACTCCATTAAATTCAGGGGGATGGGTCATAAGGGAATTGAAGTATTTTAATTTCAAATAACAAATTAGTGCTTCGATGCATAGTGCACCCAAAAGCAGATCAACTGCCACCACTTACAAACGAATTTTTCGCCATTGAAAATGATTAATTATATTTTCAAAAAGTAAGTTTAAAGATGATGTAAACAAAAGGAAAAGAGAATCGAAATTAATCTTCTACCGGAAGATGAAACAACCTCTGCAAATACTCCCCCTAGCGTTGAGAACATGAAACACGGTCGAGAATAGAGTCAATATGAAAAAAACAAGATCACCAGCATCAGAAATTCAAAATTTAAAAAAAATCACATGTGATGTATAGTTGTCTTCATATTTATCTTGCTTTTTCCAGCTTAGTTCAATATTATTCTTAAAGTCGTTACTGGACATTTAAAAAACATTTTTACTTTCGGGTTAGAGAACGTGTTAGAGGTCTCCCAATGCCAGTTAGTATGTGCAAAGTCAGATTAAAGCGAACCGGTAGAGTTTATTGCACGTGATTTTAGGGAAGAAGTCATGTTGTTGCTGTTGTTGCTTATCCTCTCTGTCTGACGGAGTCAGACAAGATCCACGAGTTCGTTGACTGAAAGAAAGTCGAAGACTAAGAGAGGATTGCTATAGAGATCCTCCTTAGAGAGTCCCATGCAATCCAAGAGGTGCTTAAAAGAAACCTGATGAATTTGGCACTTGGTGCAGGGGACGAAGGTTTTCCTGTCCTCGTTGAAAGTGAGGCACTTGATGTGACCACTAGCAAGCCTTGATAGAACTGTCTGGGTACGTCTGTCACACGGGAGATCAAGGGACAAACCCGGTTTTGATCTCTTGTACCAATTATGGGTTGGGGGTGTTTTCCACTCCTCCGAGATTTTGGAAAACGTTATAGAAAGCAGAAGCAAAAGCGAAACGGAGAATCGAGGGAAAGTTAATATAGACACCTTATTTATAGTAGCATACTGATAGAAAAGAAATGAATAAAAAATCTAACTTATTTTTTTTAAAAAATCTTTATATCATAATCGGAATTGCATACTACTTTGGAATTCCTTCATTAAATAATTTAATAATTAATTTTCTTTTATTTTTCTCTCGCATGACAAAGTGAACTCTTCATTAGCTGAAGAGTCAGCTAATGAAGAGTTCACTACATTAGCACTTCAGTAGCTTTCCCGCTTCTCACCAACTTGTCGTGTTTGAATTATACTTATGTTAATAATTATACAAATGTATGTTGCTATTTATGTTATGCATGTAATTAATTACAGAACATCTTTTAGTTCAACCTAGTCGTTATTTAAGGCGGTTTAAAATATAAAAAATAATATCTACTACGTAAATACCTACTTAAATTTAAATTTTGCACCACTAAATGTAAATATCTACTTTATATTTCGATATAATTTAAAGCTGGTTTTAGAAAATTCACTAAAATGCCATTAAACAAATTTTCCCACTAAACTCAATAATTTCCGTTAACAAACTTTTCAAAGCGGTTCATTTATTTCTTTTCCTGATAGATATTGTGGCAGTGCGAGTTATTCTTTTTTATTAAGAAAAATTGTACAATTATATGAAAATATTGTTGACAAAATAATTGATGCGATTTAAAAGGAACTGAATTGTACATCAAAAATAATGTGCAAAGAGCAACTGGTAACTAATTTATTTTACTCCTTCTCATTTTTTAGAACATAACTCCTCTGGATATGTTCAAGATAGCTGAAAAATTCTTTATATCTATAGGCTTGATGCCTATGCCAGCAGAATTCTGGAATAGGTCCATTATCAAAAAGCCCCTCGACAGAGAAATGGTGTGCCACCCCACTGCTTGGTATTTCTATGATGGAAACGATGTTAGGTGAGATGGAGTCAATGTTTTCTTTTTCTATTGTAGACAATAGTTTTCTGTGTTTGAAATAGAATTTATAAATATTTCTTTAAATTTCAATTGTGATTAATAAGTTATTAATGTTTAAAATGCTGATTATTTTATAAAATGCTATTGTCAGTAGAAGACTGTTAAGTGATTAACAAATAATGACACATAAGCGAATATACTACAATTTGGATTCTCATCATGATCAAAACTGAGATTGAAACGAGGACATACACAGATAAAAATTACTAACAAGTCCCAAAAAGGAAACAGAGAAAATAAGAATTGGATTGGAGAAAATATTCAACAATGGTTGCTAGTCCTCAGACACCAACCTTGATTTCATTTCAGATTTTGAAATATTTCAAATATAATTACTTTTTCAGTATCTTATTCTTTCCAAATATTTCGAAATCTGTTTTCTTCTCCATCCAAATCTGATTCTCTTCTCCAACACATCCCTTCTTTTATTCCATTATCTTTTTTAATTTTGTTCCTCTACTCTGTTGATTAACATCTTTCACTTCCTTGTTGTAATTTATTTGCAATTTTCTTCTGCATCTTTGTGTTTCCTTCTTTTATTCTGAGTTTCAGCTTTGAAGCTGCATATGCATATTTATGCATTTTTAATGAAGCTTCAAATTCAAATATTGGAAATCTAAATCATCAATAATTCATTTCAACTCTTATTTCATTATAAAAGTGCTTAATTCAGAAATCAGTGCGGTCAGAAAACAGAGCACCTTAATTTAGAAATAAACAATTTGATTTAATTTGCGTAAGTCAAAAATTCAAATCAATGTAATTTTTCGTATAGAGTATACTTGTAAGTAATTGACAGTATTCCACAAGAGTAGTTTATTGCTTTTTGCAGAATTAAGATGTGCACTACAGTTGATATGGATAACTTAGCCATTGTGCATCATGAAATGGGACACATAGAATACTACTTGCATGTACAAGATCTTCCTCTTTATCAGAGACATGGAGCTCATCCAGGTAAAATTTCCTATTTAGGGAAACATTATAAAAAATAGAATTTTTTACACTTAACTAAATTTATCGGCAACTTAATCTATTCTCTTAAGAATAAAATAAAAAATCTGCCGATAGCAACTAGAGAACTGACGAGCTACTATCGCAGTTTTCGAGTATTAGTTATTTTATAATCTATCTATATTATACGCACCATGAATAGAAACATAAATATTAACAAGGAAACTGTTATTTTTTATTAATCAAAATTAAGTGGTGATGGCTCAAGGAATAGAGAACTCCCCTCCCAATAAGGTGGCCCAGTTTTGAGTCCCAGCGATGGCTGCTCGATACGCATTTTCGACTACAGTGCTAACGTAAAATCTACCCAGATGGATCCATCAGGCTAACCGCAGGATGTTTTCGTGGTTTTCTTCAACATGTAACACAAATGCGGGTTAATTCCGTCAAATATTTCCCGATGAAGGTAAATTTCTCCCAATACTTCATACGGGAGTTCCCTAGACTTCTGAATTGGGTTGGAAATTATAAGGTTATGGAGTTAAATATTTATAGTCGTAAGTAATCACTAAACTGGGTCGGCTTGTTCACGTTTATAAAGTAAAATTAATTAAAATTCAGCAATGGTGACTCAGACGAAAAAAGGTTTGCCACTCATTGATTTAACTCAGGTTCAAATCTCAGAGATGGCTGGTCGATATGAATTCTGCACTTGGCTCGCATCAACCAGAGTGCTAACGTAAAATATTCTCAGTGGTAAGTTGACCATAGTTAGATTCTTCTTATCCTGTCGTAACCACGGAAAGTTTCATATTTTTCCTCTTCATGTAACGCAAATACGGAATATTTCTATCAAAAATTGGTTTCTCCAGGAATGCTAAACCAATACCTGATTCCAGGAGTTCCCTTGTCTTCTGGTTTTGTTCGAAATTACAAGGCTGAGGAGTTAAATTTTAACTTTGATATTATTAAACTCCTTATTGGGTCTGCTGTAAACTCAGAATTAGGTCGATGTAATATCTTCTCTTAAAAATAAAATCAAAAATCAACCTATAGTAGCTCAAGAACTAGCACAGATTACTTATTTTACAGTTTATATACATTTAATGGAGTTGAAAAAGTATAGTGATAGAGCTGCACCCTACACGAAGGTGATATATTTGAATCAATCTCTTGCGTAGTATTTTTACCAGATAAGTACTTTACGATTTTTCGGGTGCTTCAACTGGATAGCAGCGCAATACTCAGAAACCTAAGTGTTAAAATGGAAACTGTGCTATTTTACGATCAAAACATTCTCCAAAACTACTTGAAAATTATTTTTATTATTATTTTGCGCAAAGGCTTTCATTCCAATAATGGTACTGCAGTAATATCCACCATTTTATGCTACTTAGTACGCAAGTAAAATCGAAGAAACGGTAATAAACTGATAGAACGGCATTATTTCAGAATGAACTTTCGTTTAATCATCTTCAGAGATTTCTCCTGAACACTTTTGTACGGTACCCTGTACAGTTTGCAAATATCTTTCATATGCTGTTGCATAGATTCCCCTTCCACACATAATATCATAAAAGGTATAATCAAGGAAGTAGTTTTTTATGTATAACGCATGTCATGTATTACTGTTGTTGTTGTTGCTAATTCCCATCTGGTCTGACTGGGTCAGACCAGATCAATAAATCTGTTGGCATTAAAAAAATCCGAAACCAGAATGGGAGAAGAATGAATGTCCTTCCAGTCCAGCCCTAAACAGTTCAAGATGTGCTCAGGTGATGCCTGGTTTTGTTGACATTTAGGGCAAAGAGGAAAGATCTTTTGATTAGCAGAAAATGCGAGACTTTTCAGGTGTCCACTGGCCAGTCGGGATAAGCAAGTGTTGGTTTGCCTGTCACCAGGAAGAGATAGAGAGTGTCCTGGTCTTTTTGCTTTATACCAGTAGTGAGTAGGTGGAAGCAGCCACTTTTGTTTGATCTGGGCCTTTTGCCTTGGGAAAAGTTCAAGGTATGTAAGCTCTGAGGTGGAAGGGACTGGATGGTCTAGTCCCTTCTTTGCGAGAGTGTCAGCCAACTCGTTGCCGTGGATATCGACGTGGGACGGGATCCATTGA